ATATGAGTTGAGCTGACGTTTCCATTGAATTTCACATAGTCTTGCTTTCCCAAAAGTTGTTCTCATCCGGAGTGGACTGCACTGTCGCGGTTCGACTCCCCATGAGGCTGCTGATAAGACCGAACGAGGTCGAAACTGCAGTCCACTGGGGCCTGGATGAGAACAACTTTTGGGAAAGCAAGGCTATGTGAAATTCAATGGAAACGTCAGCTTAACTCATATGATTGTGGGAAAATTCTACTACCAGTGGTTCATCAACTTAGACGAAATAGGGTTAATACTTCTCATAAAACATGAATTAGGTTTGTCTGGCTGACAAAACCAGTAGACGTTGTGAGCCATGAGAATACCGCCTTTATCCTTGCTTTACTGATAGTCTCGAAACCTGTTCGATGTGAATGTATATTTATGTGAATGTATATTTATGTGAATTTATATTTATTTAAATTAATATTGATGTGAATTTATATTTATGTGAGTTTATATATAGGATCACGGACTAGAGCTTCCACGCACCTCTGCCCTCCACGCAGAGTGAATTAATAGCCCTTGTTGGTTGAAACATCTGCCCTGAGCCGAGCCCAAATCTAAGGACCCATATAGCTTTGGGGCCGGCTTCAGCAGCCTATTCACCGGATCTACTTCTCTTTCTAGCCCACAGGTGGGCATTTGTTGAGGAGGAAAAAATTCATACAAAAACTGTAAATGACTCTAACGAAGACAGAAATAAAGTCTGTGTTTAGGATTGTCAACTATTTTGTTGTATAAAGAGTGCAGTGAAGACACAAAGCAGTAGTCTGATCTTGCTTCTCCGCTACGGTTGTCTGGATTCTTTGTACAAGCGGAGCACTTTTCAGCAAGGAATGGCAGCCAGAATGAGATTGTATTAGCGACCGGAGACCATGCTTACTCAAGCTATGTACATGACAAGTAGGCGACAGCGCCCATGTCAAAGTGAGGCATTCCGAGTTGTCATGGCGGTGATCGACTTTTCGAGTCTGTTCCAGAGGGCCTCGATCCAGGGGAGAGGGAACGGGGGAGAAGGGGGTCTACAGCACCACCGAGCGCCCTTCGGCCATCTTTGATTCCATTTTTCTCTTATGAGACAAGCTCATGTACCTTCTTCCGCTGCACATCGTTGCTGCAGTACATACTCTTCATTTGCTCCTCAGACGTCTGGTTGCGCAACTCCTGCACCGTCAAGTCCAACGTCTTTGCAAGCAGCACCACGTCGAGCTGGTACAACTCGAGAATGTCAACCACTTTCATCCGGTGAGGATGGTAGAGAAAACCGCAAGTCGGATTGCACTGCGGAATCAGCGTCCTCGGAGGTGCCTCACAACCGTCGTCATGGCCGCTAAAACGGGGACTTCTGTTGCGAGTGAGGCCGACAGTGTCGGCCGGTTTGTTCGGCTGTCGGCTTCTCTGGACGCCGCAGGAGTCGATTACTCGGTACGCCGTCGGGCTGGCCACATCGTAGAGGCCGAATCTGCGACGCAACCAGCGCTCCTTACGTCGAACCCCGACGTATCCAATGCCCTCAAGGTCGTCCTGGCTAGTCGGCCTCGATGAGGCTTCCGTCGAAGCACGACTCGAGCGCCTCGGGTTTCGTCTGGCCATCGACTGCGGATTCGAGGCAAAAATGGATGCGTCCAAAGACCGGCCCGACTGCGTCGTCGAGGAGCGCGTATGCCGCAGGCCTCGCTTCGGCGCGACTGTGGCCATGGCAACACGGTTCGTTTCGGTCTGACCGGTGCTGATGAGTGGGCTCTGGACGAGGGAGGCGTCTGAGAGGAACGTGGAGACGCCGGCCGCCCGGTCGTCTGGCAGATACGGGGGTCCCATCAGGTGGTTGAGCGCCGCCACGAGTTTGGAGAGGAAGGCGATGGTCGAGTTGGCGGAGAGTCTGGAGGCAGCGACCTCCTGCGACTCGACGCCCGGGTCTGGTGGTTGCCGGTAGCGCTGGTTGGGCGGTGCCTGCGACTGTGGTGGAGATGCGGCTGGTGCCGTCTGCTGGGAAGGCTGGTCGATGCCGAGGGGGTCGGAGGCCGTGTTGGTGGGGAGGGGCCGGCTCGAGAGACCGACATGTTGGCCGGAATTCCAGACAGACGGGGCCCGTTGGAGGGCCTTGTGTCGGAAGAAGCGTCTGCAAGAAAAGCATTTCGGTATCAGTTCGCGGCATCCAACCAAAGCATGGGATGTCTCAGTAAGTATGAATAAGCGACTGTGGCTGCCGCCGTCCACATTTTCTCTTTGTTTGGTACCTTTTTTGCCTTATTTCGTTAAGTGTCCACTCTTGATTTGATGATGTCTGCCATGGCGGTACAGACGCAAGCCTGGCACACTTTCATCGGCGTCGCAGAATTGGGAGCCGAGGACTTTTTTAGCACAATTCACCAGTCTTCCATAGGCAGCGATCCTCCTTCGGTGGGTGGTGAGACCACATCATGAATTCCATCCAACCAACCTTTCCTTCGAAGTGGAAAGTCATGTAAAAATATAGCACTCGGGCATTCTTCGAAACCCACTTTTTTT